GAATCCAAGAAAACCACATCCTTCTGAGCCTTGATTGCTCTTTACCCAGTGTTTAATTAGTAAATACAGTATATGTCTGCATCTGGCATTATGCTGCTGCTTGATTTCAGGAAGAAACAGTGGGAGTCAGGTTGAAGACTTTGCAGCTCCCAATACATCCCCCAGATGCTCCACTTATACTGGTGTCCAAAAGGCTAAGAATTAAACTGGATTCCCAAGTCAATTACTGACTTTGGCTCGTCTCTCCCTGGGTTTTTCGCCCAGGAGCCAAGGGTGCCAACAGATGGCAGCAACTCTGAAAACTAGGGGCTTCATTTCTAGAAAAGGCCTCAGTTTCTCCGCAGAGCCGGGTAGCTTGGGCAGCCTGTTGTGCCCACCTTCAAGCAGCTAGTGGTTTTAAAGCTTTCCAGTCAGGGGGTGTAGTGTGGTGTGGTGCGGTGCAGGGGGCTCAACATGCTTCTTGGCGGGCTTTGGCCCACACTACCGCCACTCTCTTCCTTAGCATCCTGTCTGTCACTTTCAGACATGGGACACTGGGTTCAACGGACTTGTGGTCTGATGCAGTGTGGTGTTTCTTGCCTGGCCCAAAATATGGTTTCTTTGTGCCAGCCTGCCAACTGACAGCCCTCCGTGCCCACTATACTAAATATAATGGCTCAAATAAGGAACTGGTTCTTGGGCTCGGATTATGTCTGGAAATTCTGTTTGGACCACTCCACGCCATGCCTCTGTGGCACCGGCGGACTCTCCTGGATATCTCTGGCCTTAGTCTTGCCTGGCCCAAAGTGCAGTTACGCCTTGCCAGGCTGCCAACTGACAGGTCCCCCAAGCCACTGTACTAAGTATAACGGCTTGAATAAGGAACTGTTTTGGGGCTGGGATTAGAGATGGAAATCCACCCCACACTATGGCTCCATGGCACTCTCCTGGTCATCCCTGGCCAGATGGTTCTCCGGCCCAAAGCACGGTTTGGCTCTTCCATGCTGTCCACTGAGAGCCTCCCCCCACCACCCCCAGCCCCTGTACTAAGTATAATGGCTTGACCAAGGAATTCTTTTTGAGCTAGGATTAAAGATGGAAACCCTTCTTGGGCCACCCCACATTATGACTCTGTGGCACCAATGGACTCCCCTGGACATCCCTGACCAGAGCTTGCCCAGCCCAACACAGGTTTAGCCCTGCTAGGATAGGATGTCAGCTGAGAGCTCCCCATAGCCACGATACCAAGGATATGGGTCTGAGTAAGGAACTGGATCTTGGACTCAGAATATGGTTGGAAATCTGTTTTGGGCCACCTCACAGCATGCCCTGGTGGCACCAGGGGACTCTCCTGGTCATCTCTGACCAGAATCCTGCCTGGCCCAAGACATGGTTTGGCTGTGCCAGGTTACCAACTGACAGCACCCCCCCACCCCCTCCTGTACTGTACTAAGTATATGGGCCCAAATAAGGAATTGGGTTTTGAGCTGGGCTGATGACAGGAAATCCTCTTTGGACCACCCCACACCATGCCTCTCTGCCACTGGGCACTCTCCCAGACATTCATGACCAGAGTCTTGCCTGACCCAAAGTGTGTTTTTTGCTTGCCAGGCTGCCAACTGACAGCCCCCCATGCCCACTGTACTAAATATATGGGTTTGAATTAGGAACTGATTTCTGGGCTGGGAGTAGATATGGAAATGCTTCTTGGACCACCCCACACCATGAGTCTGTGGCACTGGGGGACTCTCCTGGACACCCCTGATCAGAGTCTTGCTCGGCCCAGAATGTGGTTTCTTCGTGCCAGGCTGCTAACTGGCAGCCGCCCATGCCCACTGCACTAAGTATGTGGGCTCGAATAAGGAATTTCTTTTGGACTGCAGGTGGTAGAGTCCCTGGATGGCAGCCCTGGGTGAGACTCCCTTCCCCAGTGACTTGGCTAGGAGGAAGCTCCCCAGGTTGGTTTGCCACTGACTGTGACTATGATCCATTTTGAGCTACAGTTAAAGGTTAAATTAAGGTTTTGCTTAAGGAGTACCACTGTTCCCCTTTTCCCTTGTAATAAACTTGTTTTAATTTAACATTTGCCTGCGAGTGAACAGCTTGCTTTAAATTACAGCACCCAGTTTTAAGTTACTTTACCAAGTTTCTGAGTGGCGGCTGGAGGTAAACGTGAAAAGATGTTGAAAAATCCCTAGGGGCCTCTATACACATGCTCCATGGGTGTGGAGAGGAGTGCTTTAAACAGAATGGCTCTGAAAGCCACTCTAATTAAAGTGCCTACAGCGTTACATGTATTCACCATCTCATGCTTCAAAATGGCAGTGGGAGCACTTTAACAAACCTTGTTGGAAGAACTTTAGTTAAAGCACTGCCACTGCCATTTGAAATACAGGGACAGTGAATACACATGATACAGAGGCTGCTGGAGTGTGCTATTTAGCATGCTTCAGCAGACTGGCAGGAGACTCAATTAATCGAATCTGCTCTCAGATGTGATAAATACCATGGCATCAGAGCAGGGGTCCGTCAAGTATACTAGTGCCCTATATTTGCATGCAGCCATTCATCCTGCCATCCAGTGCCTGGTGGAAGAACAACATAAAGTTCTTAAAGGCTAGGTGTCAGCTGGCATGAGGAATGATGTGGAGTGGTCCAAGAAGGATTTCCAGACATAATCCAAGCCCAAAAACCAGTTCCTTATTTGAGTCATTATACTTAGCACACTGGGCATGAGAGGTTGTCACTTGGCAGGCTGGCACAAACAAACTGCATTTTGGGCCAGACAAGACTCTGGTCAGGTATGTGCAGGAGCACTGCCTAGTGCCACAGAGCCATGGTATGGGGTAGCCCACAATGGATTTCCAGCCATAATCTGAGCCTAAAGCCAATTCCTTATTCGAGCCCATATACTTAATACAGTGTCTGAGGGGACCCGTCAGATGGATGCATGGCTTTCCGGAACAAACCGTGCTTTCCAGGCAAGACCATAGTCGGAGATGTCTGGGAGTGTCCTCTGGTGCCCCATAGGCATGGTTTGGAGTGGCCCAAGAAGGATTTCCAGCCAAAATCCCAGATCAAAACCAGTTCCTTATTCAAGCCATTATACTTCGAACAGTGGCTGGGGGGCTGTCAGTTGGCAGCCTGGCACGGCCAAACCGTGCTTTGGGCTGAGCATGTCTCCGGCCAGAGATGTCCGGGAGTCCCCTGGTGGTACAGAGGCACGGTGTTGGGTGCCCAAAAAAAAGATTTCCAACCATAAACCCAGCCCAAACTAGTTCCTTATTCGAGCCATTATATGTAGTACAGTGGGCATAAGGGGGCTGTCACTTGGCAGCCTGGTAAAGCCAAGCTGCGCTTTGGGCCGGGCAAGACTGTTTAGAGGTGTCCAGGAGATTCCGCAGTGCCACAGAGGCATAGTGTGGGGTGGCCCAAGAAGGATTTCCAGCCTAAAACCAGTTCTTTATTCGAGCCATTATACTTGGCACAGTAGCTGAGGGACTGTCAGTTGACACCCTGGCACAGCCAAACCGCATTTTGGGCTGGGCAAGTCTCTGGTCAGAGATGTGCAGGAGAGTTCCCCAGTGGCAAATAAGTATGCCATGGGGTGGCCCAAGAAGAATTTCTAGGTACAATCCCAGCCCAAAAGCCAGTTCTTATTCAAGCCTATACACTTAGTACAGTGGGAATGGGGAGTTGTCAGTTGGCAGCCTGGCCCAGCCAAGCTGAGTTTTGGACCAGGCAAATTTCTGGTCAGAGATGTCCAGGAGAGTCCCCCGGCAACACAGAGGTGTGCCATTGGGTGGCCCAAGATGGATTTCTGGCTATAATCCCAGCCCAAAAAACAGTTCGTAATTCAAACCCACACATTTAGTACAGTGGCTGGGAGGGTAGTCATTTGGCAGCCTGGCACAGCCAGACCGTGCCTCAGGCTGGGCAGGACTGTGGTCAGGGTTCTTTGGGACAGTCCCGCCATGGCATCGACAGGAAATTTGGGGTGGCCCTAGAAGTATTTTGCCCCATAATCCCATTTTAATCTGCCCTTCATTTAGGACTCTGTACTTGATGCAGGATATTATTTTGCACATTAATTAGTACATATGCATAGCTAATCAAAGTATCTCAGTTTAGGATGTGCGATTCATTAATAACAAGCTTTTATCAGGTCTAGATTAGCTTTGAAAAAGGAACCGGGAATTGGATTAAGCAACCAACTTCAGCCTCATCCCCTGGGATCTGCCAGTGCCAGCTGCCACCCACAGCCCCCGCTCCCACAAGACCCTGCCAGGTCCCTCAGCCCCAACCCAAACTCCCCACTCCCCTCTGGGCTCTGCTGGTGCCCGACCCCCCAGCTGCAGGGGAAGCTCCGGCTCGTGCGGGTCGGGGTGGACAAAGGCCAACCACCGCGCGACCTGGAGGACAGGCCTGTGCACCCCCCGGCCTGAGCAGTTTCTCCCCGCCCGCCCTACTGCAGCCCCAGCGCCCCGCCCCGGCTGGGGCCCCAGACCGTCCAGACCCCGGACCTTCCGGCTGACCTGCATCCACGTGCTCGGCCGGGCACCTCCCACACCCTGCCAGTGCCGGGCTGTCCGCGTGCGCGCGCAGACAAACATGGTGACTCGCCCCACCCCCGCCCGTGGCAGTGGCACCGCCGCTTCAGCGTTTTTCCGCGATAAACTGGAAATCCGGATCCTGCCGCTAAGAACTCCGCTCCGAACCGCGCACGCGCCGCGCTCGGCCTTCTGGGAGCTGTAGTTCGACCTAACGGCGGCCATGTTGAAAGCAGAGCGGGGGAGGAAATCCCGGACATTTCGCCTGTACTTAAAAAACCCAGCCGAACGCAGCAGACGCCTCCAAAAAGAAGCCATGTGCGGGAAACCCAGACGCACAGTAACCCCGCGACAGCTGCAGTTTAATCGCTGCCCGCACTTCCGCGTCCGCTTCCGAAACGCGGCGTAATGACGTTAGGAGTAGGCGTGACGGGCGCTTCCGCTTCCGGCGACGCGGTTGCCTAGGTAGCGATGGCGATGGCGATGGGTATGGCGATGCCGGCGCCGATCGCGGACGGGGAGTACACGGCCGTCATCTACGGGCTGATCCGGGCC